GGGACCGCAGGGCAGGGAAGGACAGTGGAAGAGGTCGCAATGACCGGACCCCCAGAGGGGTCAGCAAGGGAGACAGCAACTGGCCGAGCAAGCGGCTCAAGGGCAGTGCGTTCACGAAAGAAGCAGCGAGAAGCACCTGAGTCCAGTGTGAAGGTGTGCAGTGCGGCAGTCGACGCAGTACCAAGGGGGGGAGACACACGAGCACCTAGAGCAGCAGCCTCACCAGCACCTGGGGTAGCCGACACGCGAGTACCTGGAGCGGCAGACGCACTGGCCCTAATGCCCGGGTCGGGCGGCACACACAAGTACTCAGCACCCTCTCCACTAGTAGACATCACATACATGGCAGATAGAATAGCATCAAAGTCTAGAGCATAGATATCAATCCCCTTCTTCAGGAGATCAAGCCAGGGGGGCAGCTCAGTGGCCTGAGGGAACTGAACACGCCAAGCGTCATCGAGACGAGAGAAGCAGCGATGTGTGGCGTGCGGTCGTCCACAATGCTGACCAGTGCGGTCACCAGTGCGAATGACGTACGTGCAGCTAAGACCACCCCCACCCCCGTGCTGAGAGTACCACTCACGGACCTCCTGGGGCGAGGGAGTGTGCTGCTGGCCCTGGCCACCGCCAGTGCCTCCACGGCCACCACCACCGCTGCCACCTCCTCGACCACCCCAACCCCTGCCGCCGCCTCGTCCACCGCCACCCCAACCGCTGCCTCCACTCCTGCCACCTCCCCCGCCGCTGCCGCCACCACCCCCACCGCTACCACTCGCCCCTCCAGCCGAGCCACCACCCCCACTGCCTCCACCGCCCCCACCGCCGCCTCCCCCGCCGTCACCGCCACCACCCTTGCCCCCTTTGCCCTTGCCGCTGCGGCGTCCGCTCGAGGCAGACGCAGCGCCGACCTTCTCAGTACCAAGAAGGTCGACAGCAGCAGCAGAGGCGACAGAGGGAAGAAGGGGGGAAGGAGAACACCCCTCAAAGAACGGGGTACGGGGGTCGCCACGAGAGGCACCTACAGCGACTATGCTAGTCTCAGCTGCAAGTAGCTCCTTCTCGAGGAGGGCAATGGTGAGCTCAGTGGGGCAACGAGCTAGGAAGTGGTCCCTGACAGCACGCAGTGTGTCAGGGAGGCGGATGACTAGGTGGTAGAGAGTGAGCCAGAGTGGAGGGGGGTGCGTGGCAAGGAACTCAGCAGGCATGGCGGCACGGAAGCGGGCCTCACTAGTACGGAGGTGCGTAATGAGGTCAGCGACTGTGTGAAAGGAGGCCAGGTCGGGAAACAGGTAGGGGAGGGAGAGACGGCCTAGTGCGGCAGAGGCAGGTGAGGAGTAGCGAGCAACTACAGCTGTGTACAGTGCCTGTGCAGTCTTGTGCTGACCAAAGTGCTCGCGTTCGTCTATCGGCAGGGAGTTGCGAATGGCGAAGCGAGCGTGGGCATCACGAGTCTGCCACTGTGAGCGAGCAGTGCTGTTAGCAGTAGCAGCAGGGGCAGTGACATTGCCTAGGGCGTGATCGTACAGTGAGATGTCATCCTTGGCTGTGAGCTGTAGGTAGAGGTGCAGGTCATCGAGCCAGGTGTCAAACTTCACAGGGCGGCCCTCAGCATCGAACACGAGAACCTGTGGGCTAGCCATAGGAACAGTAGAAATAGCAGCAGTAGTAGTAGGAGAAGCAGGTAGGACGAACCAGGTAGGGCAGGGCGGCGCGGCTCGGTTCAGGTCGGGTCGCAGCTCGGCTGGGTGGCGCGGCTCGGTTCAGGGCGCGCGGCTCGGCTCGGGGCGCGCGGCTCGGCTCGGGGCGCGCAGCTCGGGTCACGGCGGGGACGGGCCGCCCGCTCTCCCTCTGTTGCTGCGGCGGGAACGGGCCGCCCGGGGTCTCTAGGTGGTGGGCACGGGTCGACGAGGTCGGCACGGGGCCGGTTGGGGCCCTAGAGGGCCGAGCGCGGGGCCGATCGGGGCCTGAGCGGGGCTAGCGCGGGGCCAAACGGGGCCTTGACGGGGCTAGCAAGGGGCCGACGGGGCCTGAACGGGGCTAGCGGGGGGCCGACGGGGCCTGAAAAGGGGCCGACGGGGCCTGAAACGGGGCTAGCGCGGGCCCGATCGGTGCCTGAGAGGGGCTAGCGCGGGGCCGACGGGGCCTGAAACGGGGCCAACGGGGCCTGAACGGGGCTAGCGCGGGGCCTGAACGGGGCCTTAAAGGGGCCGACGGGGCCTGAACGGGGCCGCTAGGGAGAGCGGGCGTGGGGCCGACAGGGCCTGAACGGGGCTAGCGCGGGGCCGTCAAGAGGGGCCTCTAGGGGCGTGACACGCCGAGGCGCCCTAGGAAGGACCTGCTCTATACCATGTTGGAATCACTGAACAGGAAAAATGAATGAGCTAGCAGTGAAATGAGTACAAGTACCTAACCCTAGAATTGTGTACCCCCTATAGGCTAACCCACTGTAGCCTAAACTAACACAACATATATAATGTTTGACACTTATTCTCCTCTCTGTTGTGCTATCCCTACCCCCCCCCCCCCCCCCCACCACCAACCTGCAGGTGGACTTCATGGCTGTGCAATCCCAGGTGCGGCGGATCCTCGTGTTCCTCCAGGAGCGTTACATCGATTGCGGTCAGCAATTCGGGGGCAGTGCAAGCGCAATGCTGTCGCCGTTTCTCGCGCGGCACAGCTCGCCGTGCAGCCGAGACGTGCGTGTGCAAGGCGTGGACGGTGATCGTCAGCCATGCACTCACGAGTTCACTCTGCACGAGACAGCTGTAAAGGGCTACACCACCAGCGCGGGAGACCTCCAGTCGTGTGTGCGGACATGTCGGTCGTTCGCGACGGAGCTAATATACAATATTAACTTCCGCCTCGGCAGTTTGTCAACCCTCAACTCTGCTAAGCTCTTCATGCCACGCACCTGGCCGCGGGGAAGAGAGGCGAGAGACGCGGAGTGCCTTGAGCATCTGGACGGCCTCTACACCATGTTCCACGCACGCGAGCGAGAGGAAGTTCTACCAGGTGAGTAAACCTCCCCCTCGTATTCGTCTTTGTGATTTGCTCCGGTATACGATTTTGTTGTATGTGTCAGTAAGCGTGATATGGCCCCTTGAGTTGCACTACGGTCCCTTGCTATCCATCACCCGTCCCTTCTGTCAGGTGTGACGAAGCGGGAGTGCAAAAGGGAGATGCGGACCTTCTTGTCGGTTCTATCCGGGGCGCCGAAGGAGGAGCAGGCCTTCCATGCGGGCCTGAAGGCGATGATGGCCACTGCAGACTGGCCGAGGAGCTACCCCAACCTGGTGCGGCTATCGGTAGCAGTGGCGGTGTTGCCGATTAGCACTGTGGAGTGCGAACGCGGCTTCTCCCGACAAAACATCATCAAGAGTTGGCAGCGGACGTGATTGCACGACGCGAAGCTTGGTGATCTCATGACGCTGAGCTTGCTGGAGTACGACGTCGAGTGGAAAGACCTTGTGGAGCTGTGGCGCAGCACGAAGAAGCGCCGCCCAACCAAGCGTAAGAGCAACCCCCCTCATGCCGTGAAGAAGCGTGGTGGTGGTGGTGCAGCTGATGGTGGCAAAGGCAACAGCAGTGACAGGCAGCAGGAGAAGGCCGACCATGGCGGTGGCGGCCATGACTCAGATGATGATGTTGCAGGAGGATCTAGTGATGGTGATGATGTGCTGATGGAGGATGCTAGATGGATTTGAATAATGATTGTATTGTCAGAACGTGGAATGAAAATGTTTCACATACATAACAATGTTGGTAAAGTAGTTTTTTACCCCCTTGACAAATCAGGATTACACTAGTTTTTACCCTGACAGGGCAGGATTACATTAGTATTTACCCTGTCAAAACAGGATCCTGAATGCACCTCAGCACTGATCAATCAGGGCGAATTTTTTTTTTTGGGGGAACTGCCCTGATGGGTCAGGGTCCCCTGAATCCTATCTGAGACCCTGCTAACCACACATGTCTCAGACGACCCAATTCTAATGAAGCACATTGCCATTGCAAGAACAGAAAGCAAGCTTTCTCAGTATGATTTTTTTTTTAATGTGTAACACTTTCTCAAAATGCGTATTGTGAAAGCGCAGCTGACTGTAGCGCAGCAAGGCAACTGCGAATTAGCATTCGCCGGATACATAAGCCGGTTGGAGGCCATTTGGCCTCCACCCACGTCTTCATTTCGGAACTTTGCTGTTCCACTCCCCACCCACCCACCCACCCTGATCATTTACATGTATGATTTATAGTGGGACGAGAATGCTGTAATTACTGCAATTCTAATGAAGCATGTTACCATTGCAAGAACAAAAAGCAAGCTTTCTCAATCAGGAATTTCATGGAAAAAAATCCTGATATTGTAGGGCCTGGGTGTATTTAAACATGGGCCACTAAAATATGCAACAACATTCAGGTCGTTTGATGCTTTCCCTACGCCTATAGGGATTCATGCGTTTCATTACTGTTCGTCGGCAGACACAGCCGTCATCCCAATCGCCGAACTTTTCTGTGCGCACGAACCAAGATGAAATTGCTTTAGTACGGTAGGTGTATTTGAACATGTGCTAACCGAATATGCAACAACATTCAAGTCGTTCGATCGATGCTTTTCCCTACGCCTGATGGGTCAGAATCCTAAAATCCAATCTGAGTGCCTGTTTGTATGGTCTATGGTTCCATATCTGCGGTAGCAGTAAAGAGTCAATGGAGGTTGGCTGTGGTGATTGTTCTGTTCTATGTTGGTTGTGTGCCTGTCTTGTCTCCATACAAAGCCAGCAGTACAGTGCTAGAGTGCAAGTGCTTGTGAATATACTTCACAGCAAGCAACTTGTAGTGACAACAGAGACAAGCCGATCCCGCAGCAATCTAACATGACCTCTCCTCCATCCAGGCACCATCTGCACACTTCCCCATCACCACCTGGCACCGCCACTCTGTACCTCCATCTTTCCCTGCTATCTGCCCTACCCCGGCCCCAAGCTGCCCCGTGCACGGGTCTACCGGTAGCGGCGCAGCGAGAGCATGGTATTGCGCTTCCAGAAGGCGCGCACGGAGGGGCGGTTCTTGGTGCTCTTGTGCCCCTTGCGCAGCAGCCCGCGGTGGTGGCGGCCGGCAGACGTGAGGCCGCGCAGCTCGCGGTGCTTCATGACGGGGCGGCACAGCCAGTTGATGTGCGCGTCGTTGCGGATGGCCTGGTGGTGCGGGTCCACCAGGATCACCTCAAAGTACTTGAACGCCGAGTCCTGGCGGCGTGCGGAAGGGGTGGGGGGAGAAAAAGCGGACAGTGGGGAAGGGAAGAAAAGGTTGGGGAAGTGGGGGATGTGCGTTGGGGAGGGAGGGGGGGGGGGAGACGGGGCAGGGGGGGGGGGAGGAGAAAGGGGGTGATAAAAGGGGGGAGAGGAGGGGATGGAGGGTGGGGTGAGGGTGGCGTGCGGTGGGCGTTGCATGGAAGACAGCTGTGGGCGTTTGTTTCACCTACGCTCAGTTCGTGCGTGGGGTTGTTGTGAGGGGGAACAGAGGGTGTGCTATAGTGTGTGGGCAGTGGTGGGCTCAAGGGCAAGCGAGCGCGGGCGCGGAGACACACACGCACACACACAAACACCATGGCCCACCCTCACTCCACCGCTTACACCTCCCCCCCACCCCACCCCACACACGCGCGCGCGCGCACAGCGCACCTGGTTGACCCAGTAGGAGTTGAGCACGCGCAGCCCCCCCAGGCGGCGGCCAGCGCGCTCCTCCGCGACGGCGCGCTTGTTGCGTTGGAACTTGAGCTGCGTCACTCCCTGGCTCTTCGGCTTGCCGTACCTGCCGCCGCCACGCGCGCACGATATAAAACACGACGCGCGCACCACCACAACACGACGCGCACACACCACATCACGAAGAAGATGCGGTCGGACAGGTAGCGCGCGACGGACGGGGGGGGGGGGGAGAATGGAAACGGGGAAAGAGCGTGAAACCGGGGAGGTGCAACGAGAGAGCAGGGGAGAAGCCAAGAGCGACGGCATGAGGAAAACATTTTCTAGGAAACAAGCGCGCGGCACGGAGGAGGCAGGAGGGGAGCGGAAAGGAAGGGGCGAGAGGGCGAGGGGGCGGGGGGCGAGGGGGAGAGGGGGCGAGAGGGTTCCAGAGCGTACACGATACCCTTGGCGACGGGCTTCTTGCGGCCGCCACGGCGCACGCGCACGCGGTACACCACGTAGCCCTGCGCGCGCCCACGCGTCACACCACGCGGGGGGAGCGGAGAGAGCGGGAAAGCAGGGAGCGGGGAGAGCGGGGAGACAGGGAGCGGGGAGAGTGGCAAGTGCGGGGAGAGGGGGACACGGGTTAGATGGGTGGTGAGCTGAGCAAGACGGGAGGGTGGAGCAACGAAGACTGATCGGACATGAGGGATCAGTGGAGGGTGACACGTGGCAGCACGATGGGGACTGTAAACCATGCAGCGATCCACTAGGTCCATGCAGACCGTATTGCACCGCCCGAAGACTGTGCGCGACGCGACGATAACTAGCTAATTCTAACAGAATCAGGACGAGACATCGTGCCGCTTGCCCCCGAAAGAATGGCACGCTGCTGCAAGCCGCATCGTCACGCAGGCCGGGTGCCCTCGAGGAATGCGCTGACATGATGAACAAATTGGGCGCCATGCGAGCGGCGAATCTATGCCGCTTCGCGGATCACCGGCGCATGTGTCTAGAACTAGTTGAATCTCATGATTCGCATGAAGGGGCGCATAGCTGACACAGGCGAGAACGACTGGCGCTTCTGTGACGGCACGCGAGGCGAAAGGGGAGCGCGCGTTTGGATCACGCGCGCGGGGCAGGCGAGGCGGAACATTAAAACGGCAGAGAGAGCAGCATGTCACGACACAAAGAGATCAGGCGGACGGAATGCCGCAGAACGAAGCTTCTCGGCTCCCGGCCACAGTTAAGCATTACGGCTCCGACGAAAGAGGTAAGGCGCCGAGTGGCAGCTGGGTTTAAGCGGCAATGGCGGGCGAGGCGACGGGCGCGCACCTGCTTGGCCTTGTATCCGAGGCGGCGAGCCTTGTCAGGGCGAGTGGGGCGCGAGACGCGGATGATGGAGGGCAGCTGGCGGTACTCCCAGCAGCGCACGCGCAGCAGAAAGCGCATGACGTCTGACTGCTTCTTCTTCCATAGCTCCGACACGTACTTGTACGCTCCTGCCACGCACAACCGCAAGCACGCACACAGCCCCGTGCACGCATGAGGCAGGACGATACTGTTGGCAAAACTAGGGTTTGCTGGTTCCGCAAAACTGTGAAAAGACGAATGGTGGAGTAGACCCTTCCTTCGACGGCTAAAAAGGACCTTAGCAAAATTCCGACCCGTAAGGGAGAGAGATTACCCATGGTGGCCGGTCGTGCCGATACCTCCTAAGGATTTCTGCCTGACCAAAAGGAGAGTAGAAGATGCGATTAGGCGGGATATAGAGGGTTTGGTGAGGGAGAGAGGGGAGAGGGAAGAGGGGGGACAGAGAGACAGCTTATGAGCGATAAACCCTCGTCCAGCCTAGTCGAGGAGGTCAACGGACGGCCAGGATTAGGTCTCTTTAGCGTTATCGTGTTTGGTTGAGGGCAGGCTGCTGGAGGGACAATCGCAGCCTAATACCTTGGTATGTACAGTAAAAAACATGTTAATTAATTTATGGATGATGAAGATATGAAGCCTAGTGGTGGAAAACATATCCGACATTGAAATTGCCGAATCTATAACAGCTACATTTCAAGAATCAAGATAATCATCACAAAATGTACCTTTTAAAGAGGTGCATAATTAGTTAGGACTATACAATATTAAAATAATGTTGTTTTCGATCAAAAAACATAAGGACCTTAATACGAATATGATTACACGGTTTTTATATTAAACTGCACTATTCAATGTGTAGTAATGGGGCTCGCTGTCGGAAATCCGAACACAATATAACGAATAATACATATTGGTATGCTGTTCTGTTTTATTATAGTCCCCTGTATAAGTCGCCATGTCATATAATAATTGTCACAATTATTGTAGTGTCGGGGTCTAGCATTGTAGAAGGGTAGAATTATTGGTACATCATTACTGATGTGAATGGGGTCATCCTGGAAGGGGTAGATAGATGCACAAATGCCCCGCTGTGCCACTTCTTCAGCATCATTCTACAATTCAATTATCAATTCTTTCAAATGCAAGCTTTCTAACGTGTCATTCTCAGAATAGTAGATTAATCTTAGGCGCCATGGCTAGGTTTTGAGGAAAACGAGAGTAGCGAGGGAGAAGTTGTACCAACAAAAAAGAGAGTGATTCAATATTGAGCGAGGGTACAAATAGGAAAGAACCAACAAGAAAGGTGCACCACCAACTAAGAGAATGCTATAACTACAGTAACCAATCCTACAGGCAGTTACATATAGAAAATATTAACTTATATTTTCCGACACGCCCCCATAACTGGCTGTAGGAGAGTATGCAGTTAGCGCATCCTTAAGGGGTACATCACGATTACACAGCGGAAATTGCAGTAACAAACAAGTGCAGTGACAACCATTGCAGTGGTGGCAGATCCAGCTGTAGCACACCCTGGGCCAAGGTAGAAACAGTAGCAGGTGTAGGGGCAGCAGGTCGCCTGAGGAGCAGGCTCTGTGGCTGCAACGTGCAGCAGGACAGCAGCGGCTCGACGGCAGCACCTGCAGGCCCCTAGCAGCAAGCAGCAGAAGCAAAGGCAAAAGAGGCAGGTGGCAGCAGGGGCGGCAGCTGGAGGTGCCACGGTAGCAGTGGGCATCAGCAGCAGATGCCCGGCTGACTTCCGCCACCCCCTCTCACCCTCCCCCCCACAGCTGCAAGCGCGGCAGTGAGAGAGAGGGGAGGGGGGACGGATGTTGGTGCTGCAAAATCTCTCTGGCCACCCCCTCACACTCCCCCCCATCCCCCACAGCGACCGGCGCTGCAGGGAGAGAGAGGAGAGAGGAGGGCGTCGGTGGTTTCCTGCGGGTGCGCTCCCGCCACTCTTTTACCCTCCCCCCCACAGCGACAGTCGCGTATGGGGCGACAAATGATGACGGCAGCTGCTGCAGACTGCTCACAGCGGTCGCCCCGACACACCACCTCCCCCATGGTCCCCCACTCCCACGACCTCCCCCCATAGTAGGAGCGCGCACGGCAGCAGCAAGTGCGACAGCTGCAGTGGGGACCGCGGGAGGGTGGGCGGGGATAGCTGCTCGAGCGCGACGAGCGGAATAGGGGGCCGAAACGGAGGCGCGACGAGGCGACGTCGGGGCAGCGTGGCCGCGAACGACGGGGCGACGAGGCAGCGCGTCGAGCAGAGCGCCGCCTTCGCCCCGTCGATCGCACTGACGATTGAAACCGTCGCGGATTTTCACGCGACGGTCGCACTGACGGCCCGATCGCAGTAGAAAGTCGTTGGGAGGGAGGGCCGCCATGACAGGGTCGAAAATTGGTGGGCCCATTGATCGAAATCTAGCTCGATACCATCTCAGAATAGTAGATTAATCTTAGGCGCCATGGCTAGGTTTTGAGGAAAACGAGAGTAGCGAGGGAGAAGTTGTACCAACAAAAAAGAGAGTGATTCAATATTGAGCGAGGGTACAAATAGGAAAGAACCAACAAGAAAGGTGCACCACCAACTAAGAGAATGCTATAACTACAGTAACCAATCCTACAGGCAGTTACATATAGAAAATATTAACTTATATTTTCCGACAGTCATTTCTACAAATACGTTTCCACTACGTTGGCACTATGCCTTTCTAAAACTCGCTATATCAAAGGTGTTGACCCTGGTGGCGAGCTACATGGGTGTCAGACTTATATGACTTAGCCTGTGTACGCTATAGTAGGGTAGCACATATGGGGTACAACACATTTCTAGGGTTTGCACTTGTACCCAACCCTTTCCTCTAGTAAATCATTCCTCATTTCTTCACATGGTATAGAGCAGGTTCCCTAGTGGGAACGCTTCCTAGGGCCCACCACTGAAAAAAAAAAAAAAAAAAAAAAAAAAAATCTGACCGGAGCGCGAGTCGCCCCTGCCCGAGGCGCGCCCCGTGGGCCGCCCTCTCGTCGCGTCCCCTGCCCTTAGCGGCCCGTCGCGCCCTCCTAGAGGCCCCTCTCACGGCCCCTCGCGCCACCCCTAGCGGCCCCGTCGCCGCCCTTCGCAGCCCGTCGCCGCCCTTCGCGGCCCCGTCGCCGCCCCTAGCGGCACAGTCGCATCCCTTCGAGGCCCCTCGAAGCCCCTTCCCGGCCCCGACGCCGCCCCTATCGGCCCCGTCGCCGCCCCTAGCGGCCCCGTCGCAGCCCTTCGCGGCCCCGTCGCCGCCCCTATCGGCCCCGTCGCCGCCCTTCGAGGCCCCTCGCGGCCCCTTCGCGGCCCCTTCGCGGCCCCGTCGCCGCCCCTTCTTGGCCCCGTCGCCGCCCCTTCTTGGCCCCGTCGCCGCCCTTCGCGGCCCCGTCGTCGCCCCTAGCGGCCCCGTCGCCGCCCTTCTAGGCCCCTCGCGGCCCCTTCGCGGCCACGTCGCCGCCCCTAGCGGCCCCTGCCACTGAGAGGAGTAGGGACCCTCTATCGCCTCCGCGTAAGAGCGCGGAGTCGGGATGTCAAGTGCATCCGGGTCTCCCTCAGGGGTAAGCAGGTGAAACAGCAGCCAGACACTGGAACTCCTCCTGCCTGTCCTCAAGGACGTCCGTGCCAAGGGCACACTCACCCCCGACGGACGAAGGACAGACAGACTCAGACTCAGCGACAAGACTAGCAGCGTAGTCTAGACGACATCGAGCAGCAAAGTCGACGAGCTCAACAACTAGGGCAGACGCAGCAGTGGACTCAAAAGAAGAGTCAGTGAGGACAGTAGCAAGGAGACGCGTGACAGTAGGACTGGCAGCACGAAGAGAGTCCGACTCCGTGTCGGCAAGAGCAGGAAGAGAAGACTCAGGAGGAGAAGGCAAAGGGGCACGCAGAGGAGCAGTGGACGGACGCAGAGACATCCGGTGCGTGCCAGGGACAGGAGGAGGACGCTGACGCAAACCGCGACCACTAGTGCGAGCAGGACGGACAGGCGACGCAGGGCGAGACGCAGGCTCACGACGCTCAGCAAGACTTCCAGTAGGACCAGTGTAGGGAGATGGAGCAGGCAGTGGGGAGGCCGGCTGTAACTGTAACTGCGACGGGACAGGCTGTGGACACTCTAAGGGAGGAGGAGGACCAGTAGAAGACGGGAGACCAAGAACCTGCTGAAGGAGCGGAACGAAGTACGGCCGAGGCTGTCAGAACATTATAGCTTATACATTTGTGTAGGCTGTAGTGGGGTAGCCCATAAGGGGTACAACCCAATTAGGGTTAGTACTTGTACCCAACTGTTTCATAGTTCATCCATTCCATTCTCACTTCTCGTCATGGTATCGAGCAGGTTCCCGAGTGGGAATACTGCCTAGGGCCCACCACGAACTTTTTTTTCCTTCCCTGCCCGGAGCGCTTAGCTCCTAACCCGAGTAGCGCCTCGAGCCGCCTTAGTGGCCCCTATTGGCCGCCCTTACTGCCCCTCGAGCCGCCCTCTACGGCCTCGCTTAGGCCGCTACGGCCCCGCTTAGGCCCCGTCGGCCCCGCTACGGCCCCGCTTAGGCCCTGTCGGCCCCGCTACGGCCCCGCTTAGGCCCCGCTACGGCCCCGCTACGGCCCCGTCGGCCCCGCTTAGGCCCCGCTACGGCCCCACTACAGCCCCGCTACGGCCCCGTCGGCCCCGTCGGCCCCGCTTAGGCCCCGCTTAGGCCCCGTCGGCCCCGCTACGGCCCCGCTTAGGCCCCGCTACGGCCCCGCTACGGCCCCGCTACGGCCCCGTCGGCCCCGCTTAGGCCCCGCTACGGCCCCACTACGGCCCCGCTACGGCCCCGTCGGCCCCGTCGGCCCCGCTTAGGCCCCGCTACGGCCCCGCTACGGCCCCGTCGGCCCCGTCGGCCCCGCTACAGCCCCGCTACGGCCCCGCTACGGCCCCGCTTAGGCCCCGCTACGGATCCGCTTCGGCCCCGCTTAGGCCCCGCTGCGGCCCCGCTACGGCCCCACTTCGGCCCCGTCGGCCCCTCACGGCCCCACTTAGGCCCCACTTCGGCCCCGTCGCCACCGCGGCCCCGCCCACCCTTGCGGCCCGCCGGCATCTGCGACCTCGCCACC